ATATATATATATATAAATTCATGCATATTTGACAAGTTTAAAAAGTAAAATTATTGAATTCTTAATTTCCAGAGTTTAGCATATCTTCTGGCTAAATTATTTAACCCACTGCATGTTTTGCTTTCTATCTTCCATTTTTGTCATTACCTTATCAAAAAGTTCATGTATTACAACATAGACTAAAATAATAGAAGATATTTAGTGAAAATAAAAATATTTATTATTATTATTTTAAATAAATAAAAGTATTTAATTTCAAGTATATATGTTTCTTAGTTAATAACTTAATGTCTATAAAATGCCCGTACCGACAAGGTTTGAGCAGAGCTTGTAGATATACATTTACTAACGATATTTTGTAAAAAAAATGTATGTTTCTAATATTATATATTAAGAAAGAAACTAATAAAAAGTTAGAAAAACAATTTTGAGAAAAATTCATTAAAACCAAATTTCTTTATCAATTTATAATTTCCTATTCAAATTTAACAAAAAAAAATTAATTGGATTTTCCACTCTCAATAGTTTAGATTGTCCAAAGACTTCCAAATCGTCCTAGTTTCGATTTTATGACTATACTTGAAATAGTGAATAAGTACTAGTTTTGGGCAGGCAAAATCCCAGACAAAACACCCTATAGATGTGACTAATCAAAATAATTTGCAATTATGTCAAATTTCAGTCATTATTTAAAATATGTGGGAGTTGTTGGGCACTAGCATCGGTCAACAGTTAATATAGCATGTCTTTTTCCATTTACAGTCAACATCTTTGTTAAGTAATTTTGAGATATTAGTTAAGTAATTTGAAAACATCATAAATCAAAATGACTTATTTGGCTTGTGACTTTAAAGAATTTTAAAATGATTAAAACTTTAAAAATAAAATGAAGGAATTTAAAATAAAAGTTTAATGGCAATGCATTTATAATATAAATTTATGTTGTCATCACAAATCACCATTTATGTAAATTTATTAATGTTTACAACTTTAAAAATCATATCAATCATGGTTTGTGAATGATTAACAATGTAAAATCACCGATCCATATAACACTTAAAATAATACTATTAATCTGGTATATAATCAAAATTAAATTATTTTATGTACATTAAAATATTAAAACCTAAGAAATGTTATTATGAAAAACTAACAAATATGAATTATTCAATATAAATAAATATTTTTAAAAATAAAATAAATTTAAAACTTAAATATATCTTTAATTTATTAGTATCTATAATTTAAAACAATCTTAGTTAAGCATCCATACTTAAACATTAATGAATTTATCAAATATTATTACACAAAATTCACCTACCAATATCTTTATTAATGAAACTATCAAATCAAATTAAATTAATATTACATAATTGTCTTAATTTATTACCGATAATTATACTATTAATAACCTAAGGGATTAAAAAAGCCATACATACATACATACAAGCAAAACTTTCGATACACTTATTTTGATCCTTATTATAAGACATTTTTACCAAATCACACAAACCAATATAAATAGTTATCTTAATTGATTATTGAACTTATAAAACAAAATTATCAATTATCAATTTTATTCTTATTATTAAATTAATAATTTTCATAAAGTGAAGATATCACTTCTCATTACAGCTTATGCATCAATACCCAAAAAAAAAATGTTAATTGAAGAGGGTTTAAGAAATGGGACAGAAAAATACACATTTTCACAATCATTAAAATGACAAACAAAGAAAAAAATAATTTAATGTTTTTTAAAACCTATAAGATGCTTTATAAAAAGGACAAAAAATTCTTCTAAATTATGCTTTCTAATAAAGACCAGAGGAGAATTCTACTGGAATGAGATAAACCCGCACCCGTTAAACCATCTTAGGGCAGCTACTAAACTATTTACTGCCCAACTTTGGCGATTATAGTTGTACTTTAAATACTTGTTGACAACTGATGTTGCAAAATGCGTCAGATAAAATTTTCCACGCCTAGTTCATAACAAGTAATAAGCCATGCACCCCAACTACAGTTCAGAACTCTTCCGTTATTTAATGATGGTATAGAATAATGGTACAGGGATGAACAGAAAACATAAGCATGAGAGCATGACCCTATTTGGTTCTGGTAGGGGTGATATTCCTATATCCTATTCCTAGTGGTGTAACTCATGAGGATGACACCTTCAATGCAGTCTAGCACCTTCCAGATTCAGTCATTTAAGGTAATTGTAATAACAGTGTAGTTTACAGGTTTTAAAACATGTCAAAAGACACAACAGATAACCATGCCGCTTGATTGTTACCTCCTATCACAAATTGTCACAACCATGTAGATATATTATGCATCAGTTTTATTTGAAATGAGAGACATTAGAAGTCATAAACCATTAGAAGTCATTCACGAAGCTGAACATAACATTTCCAATCAAAATTTCTAAGGGAGGATTAGGAGCAAACTTTAATCTACTTTTTCCAGGGGATCAATGTTCCTCAATCTTCTTCAAACCCTTCATGTCCGTCGTTTCAACACTGCGTTAAAGGAAAAATATCAGAAAAATCATACAATAACGCTATATAACCAGAATACAAGCCCTCTTAACATGCAGATGAGATTGTAAACAAATTTGCACTAATTAACCTGTTTTCATTTGTAGTTTTCCCCAATCCAGCCCCCCAAAAAACAATTTCTTTCCATTAGGGAAAAAGGTATAGTCCACATGCATGTCAATTAAGAGTTGATTCCGAAATGACAATGTTTCAAACAAAGCAAGACATGATATAATTCCTTATTAGATAACATTGCAACTGAAAAAATAGAATGAATAGCTGGATCTTGTAGACTTCTTAATGTTTCGTTTGCTAGAGCTGGATTGACAACAAAACTACATAAAATATTATAGTCGGATGAATAAACAAAGAAAAATCACAATCCAATTAACAGGAACAAACAAACAAATTGCAAGTGGCAAGGGATTTGATAATTCTGTATTCACAGCAAAGGAGGGTGAGAAAGCAGGGGTAATCAAACTTGATAGATGGTTTATAACTTACGTTGTACCATGCAGCACAATCTTCTGAACTTTTGTGAGCTCCGAACCTGACTGATTGTCCTCAATAAAAATTGTCAAGCTGATCAAGTAATTATAAAAAATTAGCAGCTACTCCCATCAATTAGATGATAATAATGAGAGACAGTGAGACACCTTTCAAAATGAAGGAATTCAGGAAAAGAACATACCTACGAACATTTTGGAATTTGACATACTTCAAAATTACTGGTTTCCCCTGTCAGAGAACAATAGGATAATTGCATGTTAATTATCCATACATGTGTGGAAAAGATTTCTTCAAAATTGCATTGAGGCATACATCATGAACATGGTTGAAGAGTTATAGAATAACTACCTTAAGGTTTTCTTCGGACAAATTTGCCACATCACTTGGTGGAAAGTCATTGACATTACTGTCATTAACAAACAATCAGCAACAATTGAATCACGTGATGCAACTGCTATGACACACAAACAAATTTAGCAAAACTATACCTAAATCCCATGTGTTCCTTGTTGGAAAAGAGCTTCACTGTCTTAGGGCCTAAAAGACAACAATTCAATCCAATTATAACCACATCAACATGAAAACAAACGCAGTAGCAAATCACTGAAGATCATATATATAAAATAAGCAGAATAATAATCTCTAGCATCTGAATTCAAAAACTAGAGTACAAGTTCCCAAACAAAAGAACAGATGTACAAGGAAATCTTCTTGTGGAATAGTATGTTACATCTCATCCTCATGCCACATTAATGAACTAATTTATCACGCACCGACAGCTCTTATACTGTTACTTTATTAAAGAATAACTGCTGTGAGAGGAAAGCATATTTTAGGGCCTTTTTTCAATAGACCATAGGTATCCTCCATCGGGGGCAATCCTAAATCATGTTCATGTTAAGTAAGACCACTATGAGCATGTTGAGTATTTAACATACATGCATACCCAGACTCAAATTGGAGACCTCACAGTCTTTTAGTTTGAGAAAACGTTTTAGGGTCCGATTATTGATTAGAATTTTATGTAGATGAACATCTTACCATCATCTTCAGGACCTTTGATAACAATGGAATAAAGTTTAACTACTTGTGTGAAAGGAATATAGAGCAAAAGCTGCTCATCCGCATCACTCTCCAGATGCAAACCATCGTCTTCTCTGTAACCCTGTTCATCAACAAAGAGAGTAAGATAACGAAGCAAGGCAATTGGCGCGAGGGGGGAAAATACCCAAAAAGAAGGACCCTTTTGCAAAAAGCAGAAAACTTGGGGAAAAGGAAGATGGGATTGTGAAAGCAAACCTGTTTGATAGCATTGGGGAGAGAGTGGGTGGAACTCTGATTGAGGCATTCAACCCCAGACCAGTCTATGAAGTCTAAGAGATCAACCTAATGATGAGATTGAGAAAAGAGGAATTGAAGGTGAGAAGTGTGAAGGAATCGAAAAGAAGAGGATAGATAGAGTTTGAATCTTACTTGACCCTTGTGAATAGCGCTGGCTGATTCCCCAGACATTGCTGAATGCTGAATGCTGAATGCTGAATGCTGAATGTTTATACGCTTTTCCCCAAACAGAAAGACAAATCAAATATCAATGCCCAAAATCCAACCCACCTCCCCCCTCCCGTTTTTAATAATTAAAATATTAATTTATGATCAAAATCAATTTATAATTATTTTATTAAACTTAATCGTTACCATTTCTATTTTATTATATTTTTTTACTTTTTAAAATTAACACCTCCTCTCTCCTAATATTGATGAATTTAAAAGCAACCTCTCACTAATTTTATCAATTTAATGATAAGTGATAAGTTGTGAGAATGTTATATCGTTTAAAATTAATATTATTAGTATAAAAATTAATGGACCATTTTAATTAACAAATATACTTTAAGAGAACAATGTAGAATTTTTTAACTTAAAATAATAAACTAGAATAAAAAGAATAAGAGAACAAATTTTCTTCATTCATGGTTTAATATCCATTCTCGTCCTCATCTCTGGTTTAATATTTGTGCTGATTTAATTGTCTTAAAGAATTTTAATATTTAATTATGTGTGATTATTTATTATAATGTGAAATATTTGTGATTTTTTTAATTATTAAGAAGTCTCCTAATTAAAATATGAGATAGATAAATAACTCAATTATAATTGTAATATAATGGAAAGATAAGCTAAAAATATTGTATTTTTTTGCAAAAAATAATAATTAATTTTTGACGGGTACGGATATACTTGATACTCGACACGGACAAAGATGAGACAAAAATTATATACTCGACAAATACAAGAACGAGAATAGGTTTGAACTGCAAGGACGGGGACAGGTATCATGAAACTCGTACCCGCCTCGTCCCGTTGTCATGCCTATTCAGAAGGTCTAATTGTTCTTTAAATATAATTTGTTATTATTTTTTTCCACGTTGGTGTTGCCTGTGATTTAAACCCGACTAACCCTTTTTTTCTCTTTCAATTATATACGTATTAAATGCTATTATTAAAAAAATTATATTTAATTGAGATTTTATTTTTAATATCTAGTTTTGATATAAAAAATGTGGAAAAAATTATTTTGAATTAAATTAACAAAATTAAATTAATGCACTTTCTTAATTAAGATATAAATTATGAAACTAATAAAAAAAACGTATAAATTATGAAAGGTTAGGATGATGTGCATAATATTTTAAGTGGTCCTTAATTATAATTATTATAGATAAAAGAAAATTAATGTATAAATTAGTTAAATTTGTTTATGGAGTGGAGAGGAAGTGCAATATAATTAAAATATTGTGCCCAATATAATTGGGGTTGATTTATTGAAAATAATTTAATTAATTAACAACAAACACAATTAAGTCATATAATTACTTGTGTTTGTCTAAACTTGCAAGAAACATACATGGGTAAATGATTTAAAAAGTCACAATTAAAATCTCTTTTTCTTTGTTATTTCCTCTATGGTTCCTATCCTAAATATTTAAGTTCATTTCTAGGAAATGTAAGTATGGGTATGCAATATCCGTGTTTGTTATTGTAAAATTGTAAGTTGTAATACTGTTATAATCACTTCTAGTCATTTTATGTTGTTAAACTTAGTTGTTAATCAATGTTGAGAGACTTTAGGGTTTGAGAATCCCTTAAGAGTTTCAGTAGTGTTGGGATGGAAGTTTTCTTTAGACAAAAATCCAATTTGACCCAAGGGAAAGCATATATAT